CTTAGTGAAGGGGTTTTATTCCCTCCCTAACTTCAGGGGAAAATCTCTACCTGGGGAAACAACCTTTCTCAGAGAGGTGACCTTGGTTAAAACACATAGTGCCAAGAAGGTGAGCAAACATATTAAGAACAGTATGCCATATATGCCAGGTCCCTTGAAACAGCAAGGATGGACCGGCTCCCGGCAAATGGCCAATTAATTATCTTTCAAATAGACAAAAGCAATACAAAGTATCATATTTCAATGCTGAGTACCCCAGGGAACAACATTCCACAGAAGCTGAAAAGCTATATTCTACTGTGGGAACAAAAAAACATTCTATATATTTTTGAATTTCCATTCCATTTTTAAATGATGTAAAGCAATCTAAGTAGAAATAAATGAATAGAAAACAGAAAGTTACCCTTAATGGTTTGGCTCAGTGGATAGAGCGTCAGCCTGCGGACTGAAAGGTCCCAGGTTCTATTCCGGTCAAGGGCATGTACCTTGGTTGTGGGCACATCCCCAGTAGGAGGTGTGCAGGAGGCAGCTGATCGATGTTTCTCTCTCATCAATGTTTCTAACTCTCTATCCCTCCCTCTTCCTCTCTGTAAAAAGTCAAATAAGATATATATATTTTTTTAAAATATCATGGGAAGAAAGCAAAGTACATAACAAAATATCAAGTTATTTTTTTTTACTCTCCATTAACTTTTATTTTCTTAACCCCAGTGGTGCAAGGGTCCTAACATTGTGTTTCTGTGCTTAAATACAAATGTGTGTATTTTTAAATTTTAATTAATTTATTTTTTATTGTTTAAAGTATTACATGTATGAGGGCATGTGACCGGGAGTGGGGGTGACTAGGGGGAGGTCAATGGGGTAAAAAGGAGACATATGTAAAATTCATTTTTTTTAAATCAAGAATTCACATTTGCCTTTTGATTTTACTTTACCTGAAAAATCAAGACTATATTAAAAGTGCTAATAAGCTGCAATTCAATGCTGTACTCAGTGAAACGTTAATTATGCTACAACTGTACTCTTATTTTAAGCTACCATGTTTACTGAATTTAGGTAGGAGGGTGTAAGACAAATTTTGAGGGAGGAAAATTTATGCTATTTAGTGATGTTTGAAATTTAAATTAGATTTGTTCTGAAAGCACTATTGAATTTACCCATCATTGTCTACACTTGGAGTTTTATATCACACCAATTAGGTGCTACTCTATTTATTAATTGACACACACATCACATTCAAAAGGAACTTGAAAATGTGATATTTCTTCCCTCTCCCTAATGTTCTATTTGTGAACATTCTTTGATGCGTACATGGGTGGTATATGTCCCAAGAGACATATATATATCTATGATGCTGACTCTGAGGCATCTGATGATAGATACATTTTCTGAATATTAATCTTTACAAACATTGTTTCAGAGAAAAGCAGGACTCAACTCAGGTTCCCTGTAGTTGGACTTTCATTAGGTATAGTACATAAAGGTTGCTCGCTGAGAGACTTCATTTTCCACTAGTAAGATGACCAACTGTACCAGTTTGACAGTGAATGGAGGCTTTTCCTGGGGATATGGGACTTTCAGTGTTAAAACCAAAACAGATCTTAGGAAATTAAGATAATTACTGTGGAAGACTGAACTTTAAGATGATTACTAAGACTTTGATTTACACATCTTGTATGATTCCCACCCCTTGTGTATGGGCAGAAACTAATTTGGATATTATTCTCGTTATGATGTTACTAACCAGTTAACTTGTAGCTAATCACAAGGAATACTAGCCTAGGTGGGTGTGGCCTAATCCAGGTGGACCCTTAAAAAAGGATGGAGCCATTTCTGAAAAGAGATGACTTCTTGGCTCCCATCATTCAAGAAGCCAGCCACTATCAGTTCTGCAGTCACAGCCCCAAGGAACTGAATTCTTCCAACAAACAGTGAACTTTGAGGAGGAACTTGAGCCCCAAATGAAATTAAAGCCACAGAGAACACACTGATTTCATCTTGGTGAGACCCTGAGCAGTTGACCCAAGAAATCTTTTCCTGTACATCTGACCCAGAGAAACTGTGTTGTTTAAATCCACTAAATTTATGGTAATTTGTTATACAGCAATAGAAAACTCTAATAGTATTGATTTTTCTATTCTAGCATGAAATAAAATGTATGGACTTGTTAACATTTCTTGGACCTATAAAAGGAAGTTGTACACTTGGGCAAAATGCAGAATTTTAAAAAGCACCAGTTTTCACATTTGTACATTTGGGATAAATATATTGCCTACGTCATAGGGGTGTCCTGAAAGTGAAATTAAGTCAAATGAACATAGCCCAATTTGTAGCACTGAGTAATGACAGTAAAATAAACAGGTCATTCTTGCTAATCTATAAAGTTTTCAAAATGGTTAAAAATTGGTGCAAAGACAACATAGGACCAGATTTACAAGGTTCCAGATTTCAGGAACAGGACTGAGGTCATGAGGCTCAGGACATATGCAGCTGAATTCAAACTATGTCTCCACTGAAGTGACAGTGTTTCTAATAGGGAGGTGCTGCTCAACATGGAAAATTAACGAGGTCAAAAGCCCTGCCAGTCGGTAACCCGCACTCTTCCATCATAGTCGGGAGCTCCTCATCCTTTCAGTTCTTCAGGTAAGACTGCTTATTCAGTGAAATTCCAAGGTCACCTCAGCAGCCAGCCTGTCCAAGCCACTTGGCTGGTGACCCACCATTTCACCCCGAGGCTCAATCAAGGTAAGAATTCAGCTTGTGCTGAAAACTGTCAATGCAGGGAAACTCCAGTATCTTTCTTTTGCCTTGCAGTGTGTTAGACTCTAAGAATTTTTGGCATTTTGTGGATACTTTGGCTCACTGAGTGGCCCAAAGTGACCGGCCAGATTATTAGGACCGGCCAGATTATTATGACCACCCCATCAGTACTTCGTTGGGCCACCTTTTGCCTTCAATACTGTGGCGATTCTTCTTGACATTGACTCCACGAGATGTTGAAAGATGATGCAAGGAAACTGACACCATATGTTCTTGAAGCCGCTCCTGCACAATACGAGGACCGTGGCATGGCGCATTGTTTTGCTAGAAGCCATCTCCATTGGGCTATGCCATCAACATGGTAGGATGAACTTGATCAGCAACGATACTTTGGTATGTTGTGCTATTCAGACGTTTGTAATTATATGGCCCTCTAGCAACTTCAGAGTGGAATTATAGCTAATTTGCCTACAAACATCAGGTGGTCATAATAATCTGGCCACTCAGTATATCTATCTATCTATCTATCTATCTATCTATCTATCTATCTATCTATCTATCATCTATATATTTATATTATGCTAAGTGTTCAACCATCCAGGTAATGATGTCACGTAGCAGCGCCTAGCTTCTTCTCCCTAGCGACTAGCCTCCTTGAAGTTCCTTCAGCCCATGGACACCCAGGTGGAAACATTTTACACTGTAACCAAATGTCTGTGAAGCATTTTCCTGTGCCTCATCTCATTTGATCCTCAAGGAAGTCCTGGAGTAGGTAGATAGGAGACTCAGTGGAATCCTATTTTCTTTTCATTAGCTGGAAAACAGAAATTTAGAAACTTGACCCGACTGAAAAGAAGTAAGAAATGGTGGACCTTGAAAATGACTTCAGATTTTCTCACTGTGCAGAATATAGTCAAACACTGCTGCAGTTAAATATTTTACCCTTTCTTCTCCCTGCGTGATCTACAATAATCTGCTTCGTGTTAATATTTATTGCTCTGTCGCTGACAATTACCTGAAAGAGAAGTTGGGTGCTTCACTGGGCTGGAAAAAGTTTAGTTACATCAGAAAGCAGGTCTAATTAAGCAAGTTTATTCTATATATATCCACACTGGCTAAACTTTGACTCATGCATGCACAATACATATAAAGCTCTCACTGGCACCAATCGCATGTGTATGTTTTCATCTGTCATTGTCAATTGTGAATTTGGTTGTGTTTTTTTTTTTTAACATTCTGAAGCTGAAAGAACCTGGTGTCGTAGCACAGAAGTAACAATGACAATTAAATATGATTGTAACAGTGATCCAGGTAGATATAATTCTCCCTGTGTACCTGGAGTTGCCGTCATATTCAGAAACAAAGCTGGAGGACCTCCTTTTGAAAGGGATTTGCTCATTTATTGTAAACCAGCTCCCAATAATCTGAATGCCACTAAAATGAAACAAATCAGTATCCTGTTTCCTACATTAGATGCAATGACGTAGCCTATTCTTTTCCCACATGGTGAAAAAGGCTGGGGAACAGATGGTGCATTAAGACTCAGAGACGACAGTGTAATCGACAATAATACTAGATTCAATGGATTATGCCAAAAAAAATTTCCCATCAAGTTTCTTAAAAATATTACTACTTTGGGAATGCCGTATCATAAATTAGAATTGAAAGTAAGTGCAATCATCATACTACTGAGAAACTTTAATAGTAAATGGGGTCTTTGGAATGGTACTAGATTTATTATTAAAAGATTGCGACATAACATAATTGAAGCTGAAGTATTAACAGGATCTGTGGAGGAGAGGTTGTTCTGATTCAAAGAATTGATTCGTCCCCATCTGACACTGGCCTCAGTGTTAGAATAAGTTTAATCAATTTATCAGTCATTGTTTTATCAATGTTGTTGTGTTTTTTTAAAAATATATTTTATTGATCTTCCACAGAGAGGAAGGGAGAGAGAAGCAACCAAGTTTGTTGCTCTGTTTAAAAGAAAGTAAAAGTTTTTAAAAGAAACTCCTTAAATGTGGCTTAGAAATTACTCTGGGAGAATAAAAACAGAAGGAGGTTCCCTTCAAATATCTAGGAATTATGATTAAAAATCAATTTATTAGGCCTCAAAGGGTAGAAAAATATATTTTATTGATTTTTTTACAGAGAGGAAGGTAGAAGGATAGAGAGTTAGAAACATCGATGAGAGAGAAACATCGATCAGCTGCCTCCTGCACACCCTCTACTGGGGATTTTTTTTATATATTATTTTCATATACAGTTTACTAATTTTAATTCATCTCTGACACTTCTATTATTGAGAAAAGGTGAATAGCAATATTAAAATATTTCTTCTAATTCATTTCCTTTCAATGTGCATGAATTCGTGCATGGGGCCACTAGTGATATATGATTGCTTAATTTCCACAATATCAGAATTGGTTCTACTGCATTAGAAAAACTCATCTTCCTTTCCTTTTTATGTTCTTTTTTAAAATAATCAACTGAAAAAGATGTCATGGGGACACGTCCATTGGTAGAAAAACATGAATACTGTCTCAGAACACTGCAATACACAAAATTAGGATAAACTTGTAGGAAGCAGAAAACCACACAGGGAAGGACTAGAGGTATAATAATAGTAAATAAAAGAAGCTGGCCTCAAAAATGTAACTAAGGCTCATAGGCCAGAGAAGGGGTATATAATTTAATGTGTATAATTTAAATAAAGACAACATTTTTAATTGATGATGAAAAAGTATATGTCTCAATTCTGGACACATTTAAAATTGCATAGTGCACTAGACAGCAACCTTTAGGGAAAAAGTCTTTAAATGAAAAGATAGAGGAAATAATTGAAAGATTTGAGTTGCCTTTTTAAAAATATTTCTTTATTGATTAAGGTATTACATATGTGTCTTTATCTCCCCATTACCCCCCATCCCCCCACTCATGCCCTCACCCCCCTGTAGTCTGTATCCATTGGTTAGGCTTATATGCATGCATACAAGTCCTTTGGTTCATCTCTCCCCCTTGCCCCCACCTTCCCCTACCTTCCCTCTGAGGTTTGACAGTCTGATCGATGCTTCTTTGTCTCTGGATCTGTTTTTGTTCATCAGTTTATGTTGTTCATTATATTCCATAAATGAGTGAGATCGTGTGATATTTATTTTTCTCTGACTGGCTTATTTCACTTAGAATAATGCTCAGTTGTCTTTTAAAAAATTTAAATTCGTTATTGTTGAAAGTATTACATATGTCTCCTTTTCCCCCATTTACCTCTCCGCAGCCACCACCCCCACCCCCAGCACAAGCCCCTGCTCCCCTACTGTCTGTGTCCTTTGGTTATGCTTATATGCATGCATACCAGTCCTTTGGTTGATCGCTTACCCCCCCCCCATACACTCCCCTGCCTTCCCATCAGGGCTCAACAATCTGTTCCATGCTTCTATGTCTCTGTATCAATTTTAGTTCATCAATTTAAGTTATTCATTATATTCCATATATAAGTGAGATCATGAGATATTTATCATTCTCTAACTGGCTTATTTCGCTTAGCATAATGCTCATCCATGCTGTTGCAAATGGTAAAAGTTCCTTCTTTTTTATAGTGGCATAATATTCCATTGTGTAGATGTACCATGGTTTTTTAATCCACTTATCTGCTGATGGTCACTTGGGTTGTTTCTAAATCTCAGCTATTCTAAATTGTGCTGCTATGAACATAGGGGTGCATATGTCCTTTCTGATTGGTGTTTCTAGCTTCTTGGGATATATTCCTGGAAGTAGGATTACTGGGTCAAATGAGAGTTCCATTTTTAACTTTTTGAGGAAACTCCATACTGTTTTCCACAGTGGCTGTTCCAGTCTGCATTCTAACCGGCAGTGTAGGAGGGTTCCTTTTTCTCCACATCCTCGCCTGCATTTGGCATTTGTTGATTTGTTGCTGATAGCCATTCTGACAGGTGTGAGATGGTACCTCACTGTTGTTTTGATTTGCATCTCTCAGATTATTAATGACATTAAGCATTTTTTCATATGTCTCTTGGCCTTCTGTATATCCACTTTCTCTGTAGCACCCTGGGCTAGGGGCTGAAGGGCTTGAAATCTGGGCTAGTCTACAAAAATGAATGACTGAGACTTCTGTTTAGGAACACTTTAATCTTCTTGAGATTTTAGGAAGATAAAGATATTAGTAAGTGGCCAGATGTCGTTGGTGAAAACCAGATTGCCTTTGTTTTCCACGTAATCTGTCTTTATTCAAATATCTGGCAAATACTACCTTGACAAGTATCAGGACACTTCTGGAAGTGTTTATAAGTGACAAGTTTTAGTCACTAAGAAATTAATGGATGATATCATGATTGCCAAACTAGGATTACATAAGGAAAATCACAATGAATGAGAGGGAATTTGTTCTCTCTGTAAACATTGTCTTTTCTCTTCTTCCTTTTTTTTCTCCTCACGTGGCTTTCTTTTGTTGTGATAATACAAAACTCAACATGCTGTATAAAAAGAGCTGTGAAGAGAGCTAGAGATTAGGTCTCCTAAGGAAAAAAAAATGTAGAGAATCCTACAGGTGACAAAATAAGTACTGAGACACGCAAGGCTGTATTATTACCCCTTCAAAATTCATAAGCTGTATATTGTGCTCACAATAGTAAATCTATTTTATATGAGACAGACAATCCCCTTTGTGGGAAAGTAACTGTTGAGTAGTGCATGTAGTCTTTGCTGATTAAAGATACACAAGTTTCTGGAGTTTGGGAAGAGGAAACAATGTGCTTTACATTAGTTTGAATTGATTGGATCCCACAATATTATTTCAAATTTGTTTCAATGAAAAGGAAATGTATGGAAAATAGAAGAGTATGAATTGTTAATTAAATTGCTCATTTTTTCAAAACCTCTTACATACCAGTTGCTACAGGGAGGTATGGGTGTTTCTTTGCTAATAATAGTAATGGAGAGCTTGGATATTAAAATTCCTCAATACAAGGAAAGAGGGCTTCTTGGCGAAATGACTGATGCCAGGATTGGGTCATAAAAAGCACTAAATGAGACTGGCCATCATGCTATGCAAGAAACTAAGGAAATGCAAAAAAAATTGGGAACTTGTTAAAAAACACAAAAGTCAACTTGAAGGATCCTCCCATGCATGCCCAATATTAGAACAATGTAAGCAACAAAATATAAAATGCTAGTAATGGAATATAATCTGTAGAATAAAATGAATATCCAGGAGTCCACAGATTAATGTGAATAATTAAATAATAATAAGTGGGATAGAAAATAAAGCTCTTTTTAAGCATTCCAATTCATAAATGGAAAAGGTATGATGGAACTAGAAAATTTTCATTTGGAATATGATGATTACAATAGTCCAGAATTATCAGTGTATGCTAAAATTAGTTGATAAAAATGTAATGAGAAAAGAAATATTCATGTAATACTTACCAATTACAAAGAGAAAACAGTAACCTTACAGAGGAGTTGCCTGAGAGACACTACCTTAACCAAGTAATCAAAGTTGAAATCACCATATTAAGACATATCAATATTATGTACCTTCTGATATGATGCATTGAGAAGGGCACAGTCTTAACTTCTGTGGTAAAACTTGCATAACCTGGCTATAAACATGAAGTAATATCTGACAAACCCAAATTAAGTAAATTTTTACAAAATAACTGGCCAGTTTCATAAGAAATGTCAAAGTCATTGTTATGGGCTAAACTGTGCGTCCCCCCCCCCCCACACACACACCATATTCATATGTTGAAATTTTACCATCAGTACCTCATATTGTGACTGTGTTTGGAGATAAGTCTTTAGACAGGTAATTAGAGTGAAATAACGTTTTATTGGTGCGTTCTAATTTAATATGACTCATGTCCTTAAAAGAAGATATTAAGACACAGAGAGGGCACAAAGGGAAGACCATGTGAACACATTGGAAGACCTAGGAGAGATGACTCAGAAGAAATCTACCCTAGCAATACCTTGATCTCAGAATTCTAGGCTATAGAGCCTTGAGCAAATAAATGTCACTTATATAAGCCACCCACACTGTGGTACTTCGTTATGGCAGCCCTTGCAAAATTAATACAGTCATGAAACACAAAATGAGACTGAGAAATTGTCCTTTATTGGAGGAATCTAAAAAGACATGATAATTAAATGCAATTTGGGATACTGGATTGGATTCAAAGACATATATTGCCCAATTGGCAATAGTGAAATAAGGTTTGTAGATTGTTAATAGTATTGTATCTGTATTAATTTCCTGATTTTGATAAGTGTACTGTGGTTATATAAGATACTGAAGTTTGGGCAATCTGGGTGGAGGGTATATGGGGATCTTTGTACTATTTTGTAAATTTTGAAAATCTAAAAATATAAAATAAAAAGTTAAAAACCATAAATAGTGCAATAATAAAATATTCTAAAAAGGTATGTTACTTTCAAATATTGCTTGAAAGATGTTTGTTTTTAAAATGTATGTTTATTTTTTGACATGGTTTTACTCAAGTTCATGAGAAGCAAATAAAATTGTCTTCCTTGACCAGTTCCTCTCTGAAATCTCTTTATTTTCTAGGCTTGAATAAAGTATTTTATAATATCTCTACCAAAGAATAATCTCCATATCTCACACTTCATTGTACATTTCTTTAAAGTCCTTTAAGCTTGTCTAGTTGATATCTAAGGAGCACAGTCACATGCATATAAATTTATTATAAAATAATTTATAATTATTAAGTATTAATTATGTCTCTGTACAATTTCATTTAGCAAATATTCATTGAGCATTTAGCATGTACAAGACCTTGAGGATGAAAAGAAACAAGAGATATTTGTTTTTACCATACAGTAACTTACAATCTGGAAGGTGAAAGAAAGAAAGAAAAGGATGGAAGATAAATTAAGTTTTATTGCATATCTACTAAAGGTAACTACTTTAGATAGTCACAATTGAATTCAGTTTTACAGATATAAAAATGAACACTCAAGTAAATTTCCTTATGAAAATAAATATGAGCACAGAACATTTGTATTATTCTGGCTGTGAATAATATTCTTCAATTATACAGATAGGTAGGTGGGTAGTACATAATAAAATGATGGTACAAATGAAGCAAATTTTAAAAATTTAAGAAGTCCATGTAAAAGTTTTGTAGCAGTTCTCTGTACTATTTTTTTTTTTTGATACTTTTGTGTACTTTTGGAATGATTTTTTTTAAATTTTATATTCTTTTAAATAAGTGTTTTGGTTTCTTCAAGTAAATTCCCAGAGGTGGAATCATTGGGTGATAAGGCAAGTCCATTTTTAATTTTTTGAAGTAACTCCATATTGCTTTCCACAGTGGCTGCAGCAGTCTGTATTCCTACCAACCACACACGGGGGATCCCTTTTCTCCACATCCTTGCCAGCACTTGTTGTTTGTTGATTTATTAACGATAGTCATTCTGACCATTGTGAGGTGATGCCTCACTTGTTCCTTTTTTATTGAATTTATTAGGGTGACACTGGCTAACAAAATTGTACAATTTTAAAAACTATATAATTTTGCTTTCCTTATTTAAAAAATTCTACAACACATCATCTATACACTGTGTTGTGTGATCACCACCCCAAATTGGTCAATTCTCTGTCCATTACCATTTATCCCACCCCCCATACACACTTCCATCTTCCCCCATACCCCATTTCCCTAGTTTTAATTTTCATTTATCAGATGACTAGCGATGTTGAACATCTCTTCATATGTCTATTGGCCATCCATATGTCCTCTTTGGAGAAGTGTTTATTTGGGTCCTTTGCCTATTTTTAAATTGGAGTATTTGTGGAATGGAGGTGTTTAATTTTATAAGGTTTTTGTAAATTTTGGACACCCATATGTTCACTGCAGCATCTACACTAATAAAAGAGAAACATGCAAATTGGTGTCACTCTGCTACACCTACCAGCCAATCAGGGTGAGTATTCAAATTAACCCAACAAAGATGGTGGTGGCCATGGAGCTGGAGGCTTGGGTTGCCCCTGGCGATGGAGGAAGCCAAGCTTCCAGCCCTCCCTGGTTGTAGCTCAAAGGAGAGAATAGCATGCAAACGCTGCCAGGAGCCTGACAGATCAACACAGAGGGGCGCCTGCTCCAAGCCTCTACTGTGTAGTGCGACTGGGGGCAGGCCTCCAGTGGACACACACACACACACACACACACACGACGCCTGCTCCGAGCCTCTGCTGCCAGACTGTGGAGTAGGCCTAAGCTGTCAGTAGGACATCCACTGAGGGCTCCCTGACTGTGAGAGGAGGCAGGTTGGGCTGAGAGACCCACACCCCCAGTGCACGAATTTCATGCACCAGGCCTCTAGTTATTTATAATAGCCAAGATTTGGAAGCAGGCCAAAGGCCCATCAGTAGATGAGTGGATAAATAAGCTGTGGTATATTCACACAGTGGAATACTACTTGGTCATAAAAAAAGAAAGAAATCATACCCTTTGGGACAGCATAGATGGACCTGGAGAGTATTATGCCAAGTGAAATAAGCCAGTTAGAGAAAGACAAGTAGCATATGATTTCACTTATATATGGAATCTAATGAATAAAATAAACTAACAACATAGAGACAGAATCATAGATACAGGGAAAAGACTGACAGCTGTCAGAGGAGAGGTGGATTGGGGGACTGGGTGAAAAAGGTGAAGGGATTAAGCAAAAAAACACATCATGGACAACAGTATGGTAATTACAAGAGAGAATGGTGTGGGGAGAGATAGAGAGGCTATGGGGGGGTGAATGGTGACAGGAGACTTGACTTGGGGTGGTGAACACACAATACAATATACAAATGATGTATTATTGAAGTGTACACCTGAAAGCTATATAATTCTATTAACCAATGTCATTCTAATAAATTCAATTTTTAAAAAAGTGTATGAGAGTATACCTTGAATGTTCTCACCAGAAAAAAGAAATGGAAATTGTGTTGCAAGATGGAGGTGTTAGCTAACCTTATAGCAACAATCATTTTTCCACATGTATATCAAATTAACAGTCTATAAACCTTAAACATACACAATGAAAAAAATTATTCTATGAGGGACACAATTAAATCTAAACAATAGCCTCTTTAATAAAGAACTATTTTATATTTTAAAATAAAGTGTCAAAAACAAAGAAAAGTTCATAAGGCAACAAAACAACTTTCTTCCCTCCTCCCTCTCTAAGTATGTTTGTTAAAAGAAATCTGTGGTATAAGTAATCCATGAATACTATTAATGGACTTTCACATTCCACAATATTTTTATGTATAACACTTAGGTTTTTATGTAAATTTTACAATCATCTTT